GAGGTCCTGAGCCGAGCCAAGAGGCCCCTGCTGGTGCTAGGGAGCCAGGCCCTGCTGCCCCCGACACCTGCCCACAAGCTCCGGTGAGACGCCCCGGCCAGGCTGTGCCTCGACCACCTTCCTGGGTCCGCCCCCACCCCCTGGGCTGACCTGTCAGGGAGGGGCTGGGGCCCTTGGCCATCTGACCTCCCGTCTACTCCATTGCCCCCCTCCCCACCCCCCAGGGCTGCCGTGGAGACCCTGGGCATCCCCTGCTTCCTTGGGGGGATGGCACGGGGCCTGCTGGGCCGCAACCACCCGCTCCACATCCGGCAGAACCGCGGGGCCGCCCTGAAGAAGGCTGATGTGGTCGTGTTGGCAGGTGGGCCCTCCCTGCCCGCCCCCAGCTCCTCTCCCCCCAGTCTCTTCCCCCGTGACCCTGCCCCTACTCATCAGGGTCTTGTTAGGGACCCCCACCCAGGGATCACCTGCCTAGGCAGGCAAGCCTGCAGCTGTGTGCGGTGGCCTGGGTCTCCTGCAGCAGTGACCTCCAGGACACACCCTCCCATACTCTGCTTTTTTTTTTTTTTAGATTTATTTATTTTTATTGGAAAGTCAGATATACAGAGAGGAGGACAAAGAGGAAGATATTCTGTCTGCTGATTCACTCCCCAAGTGGCTAGCTGTGCCGATCCGAAGCCAGGAACCAGGAGCCTCCCCGGGGTCTCCCACGCAGGTGCAGGGGCCCAAGGCTTTGGGCCGTCCTCCACTGCTTTCCCAGGCCACAAGCAGGGAGCTGGGAAGGGAAGTGGGGGCTACCTGGGTACAAACTGGCACTCAGGGGATCCTGGTGCGTGCAAGGTGAGGAACTTTAGCTGCCAGGCTACCGTGACAGACCCTGCATTGTGAAGATTTGTACATGTGTGGTTTTATTTGGAAGGCCGAGAGAGAGAAGGTTCTCGTGTCTGCTGGCTCATTCCCCAGATGCGGGCAACATCTGGACCAGGCCTAGGCCAGGAGCCTGGGACTCCAATCGGGGTCTCGCACGTGGATGGAGGCGGGACCGGAGCCCGTGAGCCATCGCCTGCCGCCTCCTTGGGTGTGCGTGAGCAGGAAGCTGGAGTCGGAGGCGGAGCCGCTGGGATTGGATCTCAGGCCACGCTCACGCGGGGCGCAGGTGTCCTGAATGGGACCTGACACACCGCCCGAAGCCTGCCTTTGCCTTGCCCAATGCGAGAGCCGGGGGTCCGGATGGCAGGTGCAGCAGCCAGGGCTGGACCTGACGCTTTGGTGTGGGACGCTGGCACATAAATGGGCAGCTCACGTTGAAGTGCCACGGTGCCAGCCCCGTACGGCTTCCAAAGATTCTGCTAGGAAAGAAATAAACTTGCGGGGCCAGCATATGGTATAGCAAGTTAAGCCTCCGCCCGCGACACCAAGCATCCCGTACGAGCACCAGTTCGAGCCCCAGCTGCTCCTCTTCCACTCCAGCTCGTAGCTTCAAAGCAGCAGAGGATAGCCCAAGCGCTTGGGGGACCCCCCCCCCCCCCCGCACTCACACGAGAGGCCAGGATGAAACTCCTGGCTCCTGGCTTCAACCTGGCTAGATGCCACCTGTTTTGGCCACTTGGGGAGTGAGCCAGCAGGTGGAAGATGTTTCCGTTTCATCCTCTCTCTGTCATCCTGTCTCTTGAATAATTATGTCTTTAAAACCAAAACAAAAAGGCGCCGTCTAGGCCAGCTTAGCTAAGGCAGTGGTGGGGAGCTACTGACACACAGCTACAAGGGACGGGGAGGGACGGGGAGGGACGTGGAGGGCCGGGCTGTTCCCCGGCGCCGTCACAGCAGATCAGGGAGGGCCCTGGTCCTGGACGATGCTGACCACCCCACCATCCCCCCCCCGCCCGGCTCCTGACCCCAGGGATCGTGTGTGACTTCCGCCTGTCCTACGGCCGCGTCTTCAGCCGGAGCTGCAAGATCATCATCGCCAACCGCAACCGAGATGAGATGCTACTCAACTCGGACATATTCTGGAAGCCGCACGAGGCCGTGCAGGGTGAGCCCCGGGATGCCCTTCCCCACCGCGCCCATCCTGCTGGTTCCTCTCCAGGCCCCCGTGCAGGTGCAGGCCAGCCTGGGCTTGGTACTGGCTCTGGAGGGAGGCATGGGTGCGTGCCTGCCAATACCCGGCTCCCTGCCCCGGGGACGGGCCCCCTGCTCCGACCCCACTGAGGTCCTTGCGCTGCCGTGTGCCCCTTGCTGCTTCCTGCTTTGTCTCTGAGGAAGTTGCCTGTAACTAAGCAGCGTGTCTGGGAAAGTTGACTGGAGCCGCTGGACCAGGCGACCGGAGCAGGTGGCCTAGAGTAGGGACGCATAAGGGTTGACTGTCTATGACGGGAACCCCTGCCAGTCACTGGCTCACCCTGCTGCCATGGACCCCACGGAGGGGCACGCGTGGGGAAATGAGGCTGGTTTAGCTGATGGCGGCGTTGACAGCACCTGGACAGCGAGGGGGGAAGATGTGGCACGGGGCAAGGCTTGCAGTGGTCATACTGTGTCCCCACCTCTGTGCTGGCCACCTGCCTTGCCCGAGAGCGCATGTGGGTACTGCTGTTGGCCACCTGCTGGGGTTCTGCAGGGGGAGTCGTGTACCGGGGAGGCGGGGGGCGGTTGTGTTGCAGCTCTGTCTGCTTTCTCTGCCCAGGAGACGTAGGCTCCTTTGTGCTGAAGCTGGTGGGAGGCCTCGAGGGCCAGAAGTGGCCGTCGGACTGGGTGGAGGAGCTGCGGGAAGCCGACCGCCAGAAGGAGAAGACTTTTCGGTGCAGTGCGGGGCAGTGCGGGGTGAGGGAGGTTCTGGCTGTGTGTGTGGGGGGGTCCCCTGCTCACCTTCAGCACCCTGTCGCAGGGAGAAGGCGGCGAAGCCCGTGGCCCAGCACCTGAACCCGGTGCGGGTGCTGCAGCTGGTGGAGGAGGTCCTGCCCGACAACTCGCTTCTGGTGGTCGACGGTGGCGACTTTGTGGGCACCGCCGCCCACCTGGTACAACCCCGCGGCCCCCTGCGCTGGCTTGATCCTGGTAAGACAGGTCCCCTGCCCCGGGTGGCGCTGCCTGGGGGCGCTCCTCACCCAGCTGGCTGTCGGTCCCTCCTCTAGGGGCCTTTGGGACTCTTGGAGTCGGGGCAGGATTCGCTCTTGGTGCCAAGCTGTGCCTGCCAGAGGCTGAGGTGAGGCCCGGGAGCCTGGGTGGGTGGGTGTGGCTGCTGCTGCCTGGGCTGGGGGAGCATAGCCCGCTGTCCCCTCTTCCTCTCTAGGTGTGGTGCCTGTTTGGGGATGGAGCCTTTGGCTATAGCCTCATTGAATTCGACACGTTCGTCAGACACAAGGTGAGCCCGGCTGCTGTCAGGGGGAGAGAGCCTGGGGCCCAGGGGTGCTGCTGGCTCCTGGAGGTCGCAGCCTGGCCCTGTCCTCGAACCCCGTAGGTCCCAGTGATCGCGCTGATAGGGAACGATGCCTGCTGGACCCAGATCGCTCGGGAGCAGGTGCCCATCTTGGGCAGCAGCGTAGCCTGTGGCCTGGCTTACACTGGTAAGTGGCCGAAGGAGGGGACAGCCAGAGCACGTGGTGGGCCCTGCCAGGCTGTCTCTCTTCCGAGCCATCTCAGATCCTGGGGTTAGCCGTGTGATGGGCCAGGTCCCTGTCGTCTGACCCTGTCCCCAGGCCAGTTCTCTGACCCTGTCCCTGGCCCTAGCCACGTGGTGGGCCGGGTCCCTGCTGCCTGACCTTGTCTCCAGGCTGCCTGCATTATGGGCCAGGTCCCTGGCATCTGACTCTGTCCCTGGACCCCAGCCGTGTGTGCCGTCTGACCTAGTTCCCCGGGCCAGCCACGTGATGGGCCGGGTCATGCCAACTGCCTCCAGTCTGACCCGGTCCCCAAGCCAGGTCAGCCGTGTGACAGGCTGGCGACCTGTTTGCATCTGATGTCCTCTTTCAGATTACCACAAGGCAGCCATGGGGCTGGGGGCCCAGGGCCTGCTGCTGTCCCAGGACAACGAGGACCAGGTGACAAGCGTGCTCCGGGAGGCCCAGAAGCAGTACCAAGACGGCCACAGCGTGGTGGTCAACATCCTCATTGGAAAGACAGACTTCCGGGAAGGTGCCCTGGCCGTCTGAGGCTGCTGGTCAGTGCGCCCGGCCCCTCTCCCTTCCCCAGGCCCATCCTCTCTCACACACTGGACCCACCAGGGGTCCAGTACTGGTTTATTGTGTGCAGTATCGGTTTATTGTCCAGAGAGACGGAAGTGAATGTGGGGGCCCCTACCTGGGCGCCACCAAGTCCCTCCTCGGTGGTCCCTCCAGCGCCAGCGTGGCGGCAAGGCAAGCCACACGACACGCACACACGGGTCAATAAATACATTCCGTACCAGTGATGTCCCCCAGCCTGATGCCTCGGGTGGGGCCCCTCCTGTGCAGGAGGGTTTAAGTGCTCCGTTGTTTTGTTCTTTTTGTGGGGGTGGTAAGAAGGCAGTGTGTGTGTGAGAGAGAGGAGGGCCACACCCTGGCATCTCAGATTGCCACAGGGAGGCCAGTGCTGAGGGAGGGGCTGACCCTCGCTCCCTGACACACACACACACACACACACACCCCATCCCCGTGTCCCCCAGCACCTTGTGAGCGTCCTTGCTAGGGGCACGTTCTGGGGAGGGGGGGGAAGACAAGGCAGTGCAGGGCTCAGAGGCTAATACTGATTGGGTTGGCAGCAGCCAGAAGATTTGGGAGGACGGTGGTGGTGGTGGTGGTGGTGGTGGTGGGCAGTGCTGGGCGTCCCGCCATCCTGATGCCACCCAGGGCTCGGGGGGGGAAGGCCTGAGGCCAGCCTGGCAGAGGTGGGCAAGAACTATCCCTGCACAAGAGCAAGCCCCCCCTGGGCGGAAGGACAGTGAGCCCAGGACAGCAGGAGGGCCGGGGGGCAGGGGGTCCCCCCCCAAAGTCCCTGGAGGGATGACTGGCAGCTGGCCTCGCCCCTAGCAACCCGGGCCTTGGCGACGGCCCGCCCCCTCAGAGGCACACGTGGATCTGCTTGGAGAGCTCGCGCTCCAGGTCCAGGATGAGGGCGTCGAAGTCTTTGAGGTTCAGGTGCGGGTTGAAAGGCGCGTCGAAGTCGTCGTCCTCGTCCTCGTCGCTGTCGCTGCCCGTCACGTGGTCGTAGTCGGGCCCCGACAGGAAGTCCCGGCCGCAGGGCAGGAAGTCCCGGCCGCAGACGCTCCAGTCGCCGGCGTAGCGGTTGCTCGGGGGGCTCTCGGGGCCTCCCCGGCCGCGGGGTCGAGGCACCACCTCGGGGTCCGTCTGCAGCAGGTGCGGCGGCGCCTGCGGCTGATGCTGCTGCTGCCGCTTGGGCCGCAGGTACGGGGCGACGGCGGGCGCCTCAGGAGGCCGGCGCGGGTCTGAGGGCGGAAGGGCAGGCTGGTTGCTCGGGCAACCGGGTGATGGGCAGCTCCGGGGGGGCGGGGCCTCGGGTCGCCTCCAAAGCGGATTGGCGGGCTCTGAGCTGGGCCAGGAAAGTGGGCGTGGCCGGCCCCTGGGCCGAGGCTCCGATTGGCCGCCGGGAGCGGCACGCCCCCTCGGAGGGGGGGCGGGACGACGAGGAGAGGGACTCACCTGGCCAGGACTGCAGCAGGTAGTGAAGCACCTCAATGTGGCGCTTGAAGTCCACGGCGCTGGCGACGCCGGGGCCCGAGCCGCGGATGCGGGGCCGGGCGGGCGCCTGGCGCGCCGGCAGCAGCACGGGGCCGAAGCACACGGCCAGGTTCTGCGGGGTCATGCGGTTGTGGGCGTGGAAGGAGGAGACGAGGCGCAGATGGTCCAGGAGAAGGGTCAGCGTGGCCTGGTGGGACCGGGGGTGGGTGAGTGGGAAAGCGGTGAGGGACACCCTAGGAGCGCCCAGTCGCTCCCGGAAGCACAGACAGAGGCCAAAGGCAAGGTCTGGGCCTGACCTTGAACCCCCCACCCCGCCTTGCCACTGTGTGTGTATATGTGTGAGAGGCCAGGAAGGTGTGTACAAGCAGGGGGCGGCCACTGCGGCAGGGTCAGGGTCGCATGGCCAGGGGCTGTGTGAGCTTGGGCCACTCACACCTCTGCCTGCCCGCCCCCAACCCACCCTGGGGTGCTGCTGCTGGGGGGGGGGGTGGTCCTCGGTCTCCAAAGCTGGACAGTGGGGTGCTGGCCCCACCCCACAGGACACACTGCTGCTGCTGGGGGGGTCCTTGGTCCTCAAAGCTGGACAGTGGGGTGCTGGCCCTGGCCCTGGAGGACACACTGCTGCTGCTGGGGGTGTTCCTTGGTCCTCAAAGCTGGACAGTGGGGTGCTGGCCCTGGCCCTGGAGGACACACTGCTGCTGGGGGGGGTCCTTGGTCCTCAAAGCTGGACAATGGGGTGCTGGCCCCGGCCCCGGAGGACACACTCTTGCTGGTGTCCACCAGGCACAGCTTACCCTTTCCACATCGGGCAGGCAGTTGAGCAGCTCCCGGGTGCCTCCGGGGCTAGGGGGAGGCGCCCTGCTCGGAGGTCCCCTGGCCATGGCTTCCAGCACCACCTGGTAGAGGGGCTGGGTGATGAGCGGGGTGGGCAGCTCGCGGAGGTAATCCTTGAGGATGCCTGTGGCAGAGATGAGGGGGTATGCACACCCCCCCAGCAGCTCCTGTCAGGGGCTTCCGTACCCAGGCAAGGGAACGGCCAGCGGGGCAGGGGTGAGGCGGGGTGGGGAGGAGGCAGGGCAGGGGTGAGGCGGGAGGAGGAACGGCCGAGCTGACCGGTGATGACGTTGATGTCGGGGTACAGGTCCTCTGAGAGGCAGACGGCAGCGCTGTCGCGCTCAAAAGCGTCCCTTAGCTCTTTCTTCACCGCGGCTGAACCGCACAGCCGGTACAGGCCCACTACCTGGGGTGGGAGGCGGTGGGGGGGGACAGATCCAGGAAGGGTTGTGGGTGGCGTGCACAGGGCTGGCCAAACCCATCCCCTATCCCCCCCATGCCCCGGGGAAGGGAATGCCCCCATGCCCGGGAAGGAAAGCCCCCCCCCCGTCCCAAAAAGGGAAGCCCCCCTGCACCGGGAAGGGAAGCCTCCCATGCCTCGGGCACAAAGCCCCTCATGCCCCAGGAAGGGAAGACCCCCATCCCTCGGGAAGCAAAGCCCCCCTGTCCCGGGAAGGGAAGCCCCCCATGCCCCGGGAAGGGAAACCCCCCCTGTCCCGGGAAGGGAAGCCCCCCATGCCCCGGGAAGGGAAGCCCCCCATGCCCCGGGAAGCGAAACCCCCCATGCCCCGGGAAGGGAAACCCCCCCTGTCCCGGGAAGGGAAGCCCCCCATGCCCCGGGAAGCGAAGCCGGGAAGGGAATCCGGGCCAGGTGTCGTGATGCGCTCACCCGCAGCCCCCGGCGCTCAATCTGCCCCACGCACTTCTGGATGATGAGCGGCACCTGGCCCGGAGGCCGCTCGCGCTCCACGAGCAGCGGCAGGGGCAGGCCGAAGACGCGGGGCTCAGCCGCAGCCTCGTGCTGCTCCTCCGACAGCGTCAGCTTGGCGTACAGGAGACCCTGGGGCTCTAGGCGCACGGCCAGCTGCTGGGCCTGGCAGCCTGAAGACGCACAGAGTGGAGGGTATGTGTGTGTGTTGGGGGGGCAGGTAGGCAGGTGCTGGTCTCCCACGTGGGGATGTCTGTCCCTCCCTGGGGTCCTCGAGTCGCTTTGGGGGGGGCGCCCTACCTCGGAACACGGCGGGCAGCAGCACGGTGCCCTGGGCACAGGGCCGGTGGCGCCTGACACCGGGATCCCAGGCCAGCACCAGGGCGCGCAGGAGACGGGCGGCCTCGAGCTCCAGGTGGAAAGTGTGATCCAGGCGCAGGAAATCCGGTCCCCCTGGCAGCGGCCCCGTGCGGGCCCTGGCCACCCCGTCCACTTGGAGCAGGCAGCACAGGTCCCTGGGGGTGGCCCCTGGCGCAGGCCGCAGCCCCCCAATCCCGTACAGGTGCAGGCTGAGGCGACCCCAGAGCGCAGCAGGGGGGGCCCGGGTCGCCGCCGGCCCCGCCTCGTAGGGTCGGAAGGCCTCGGGAGACGGTGGGCCACCCCCAGGGCGCTCGGGTGAGTCTCCATCGCTGAGGTATCCAGCCCTGGGGCTGCGAGCCGCCCCTGCCGGACGCCCCCCGGGACCCCCGACCACGCTGCTATCCAGGTGGTAGCGGCTGATGACCGAGCCCGCCGCAGGCGCGGTCCTGTCGCGCTCACGGCCTGTCCGGCTGCTCCGGAGGCTGAGGCGGCGTCGGAGCTCCGGTAGCTTCTTCATCTTCATGGAGAGGCGCCTGGCTGGTCCAGGAGACTTGGTGCGGGAGGCCTTGGCGGGTGGGCTGCTGGGGGTTGCACCTAGCAAGAGATCGGGGTGGGTTGGGGCACGGGGATAGGGTGGCCAGCCATGACAAGGGTGTCTGTGTGTGTGTGTCTCAGTTACCTTGCGGGGCGAGGCCATCCGGGTCGGCAGGGCCCGCCTGGGGCTCACTGCGCGCTGGGGGCGACCTGGGGTCTTCCTCCGGGATGGGGTTGTACCAGATCTCCCCGGCCGGCTCACCGCCACCGGGTGCTCCGGGCACTGCGCCGGCCGTCTCCTCGGGGGGCTTGGCGCCACCCAGCACCCATCGCCGGCTGCTGGGCTCGAGGCTCTGGAGGTAGGCGCCGCGCGCGGGGCTGCGCGAAGCCTCGGGGCTGGAGGGACCGTGGGCTGCAGCCGGAGCAGCAGCAGCAGCTGCCTGCGCTCCTGGAAGGGCTTGGGGCTCCGGCGGCTCTGGAGGGCTGGGCTCCTGACGCTGCTGCTGCTGCGGCTGCGCTGGGCGACCTGGGGAGGGCAGAGGAGACTGAGGCCCAGCCCAGGGCCATCCGTCTCCACCCACCCCAGCAGGCGCAGGCGGGCGCAGATCAGCCCCTGGGGGGCGGGGGTGGTGGTGCGTGTGGGGGACCTGCCATCACCATGGACGAGGACCGGACCTTGTTGGGTTTTCCCCGGGTGGCCCTTGGGGTCAGCCAGCTTCCTTTAGCTTCAGTGTGTCTTTCCCACGGCTCCAAGGTCCAGGCCCTGCAGCCCAGTTCCCCCCGGGGACCCTCCCTGTCTGCTGGTATCCCCTCTGCTCAGTGAAGGGGTTCAGCCAACACCGAGGTTGGGGTCGTTTCCATTCTCCACTGCCACCGTCCTTCTCCCGCACTCTTGACCTCACAGGCTGTGTCCCCCCGTGTGGACACACCTAGGGGCTTCCCCCTGCCCTGGGACACCTTGGGAATCTTTGAAAAAGATGGGGGAAGAGGCCCGCTTGCCTCCTTTAACTAATTCCCTAAGCTGAGTCCTGTCTGTCCACTGGCCACCCCCTTCTTCCTCCTCCTGGGACCCCCTGAGTCCTCCCTGCCCACTGGCCAACCTCCCCCTCCTCCTGGGACCCCCTCCTCCAAGTCCCCTTTTCCATGGTGGCAGGGGGGTCTCTTGTCCACCACAATGCCAAGAACCGCAGCAGTCATTTCACTGGCCCAAACTGGTTGCCTGCCTCAGTTTCCCCATCCGTATACCAAGAGGGCAGTTTCTCGGGACCCAGCTGTGGCCAGCTGGTTAGCGGAGGGAGCGAGAAAGGGGTGTTCCACGGCTGTCCCTTCTGCGGAACCCCCACCCTCCCCTTCCATTTTTGTATCCCTGGCTCTGCTTGTCCATTGCCCTGGCTGGCGGCGTCCTCCCCTCCCTCGTCTCCGAGCCTCCCAGCGGGTCCTTCCACCCCTCCCACCCTTCCCACCCCAGACTGCCCGGCTCCCCAGGCACCCCGTGGCGGCCCCACTTCCTGTCGAGGCGAGGTCCTCCTCCATGGGCCTCCCAGGAGTCCACGGGCGCTGGCATCCCCAGGACCAGGCGCGCATAACGGTCCGCGCTCACCCTCCCCCACCCCTCAGCCCCTCGCCTCGGGGGACCCCTAGCCCACCCGGGCTCCAGGCACCCAGGCCTGAGGCTGTCCACTTCTTGGGAGTGGGGTGGGGGCGCCGGGGACCCCTCGCCACCATCCCGGGGTCGCGCGCAGTGTGTGTGTGTGTGTGTGTGTGTGTGTGTGTGTATGGGGTGGGGAGGGACCTTGGCGCGCCCCTCTCCTCCTCCTCCTCTCCCGGTGGCCTCTGTCCTCCCCGCCTGCCCGTCCGTGCCCAACTTGGCCCCCCGAAGTCTCACCGCGCTCCTTCGCGTCCGATTTTTTCCGGGGAAGCCTCTCCCGACCCCGCAGGCGGGAGAAAGTTTTCCTGAGCTCGGCCATGCTGGGCCCGGCCGGGCCAGTGCGCGCCCCCGGGGCTGCCTCCCCGCGCGCCGGCAGGAAGCGCATTCCGGGAATGCTTGGCTCAAAACTTTTTTTTTTTTTTTTGGTTATTCCTCCCCTTCCCGCGGCCTGGAGCGAGCGGTGCTGGGAGATGTAGTCGCCCAGGACCCGATCAGGGGGGCTTGAGAGCTGCTTTTTTGCTCCGCCCGGTCCTGCCTGGTTCCCCCACGTCTCCCTGCGTCTCCGCCTTAAAGGTCTACCACCTGGGTGCGCTAGCCGCAACTTTTCTTTTTGGCTTTTTTTTTTTTTTCCCATCCACCCTCCCAGCACCCTTCTAAACCTCTTGATTCCTTCCAGAAACTCCCTCTGCCTCCTTCCTTAATTCTGTTACTCACCCCCCACCAAAAAAAAAAAAAAAAAAAAAAAAACCCGAAACCATCCCCCACCATAACAGAGGAAGTGGAAGGTGGCTGCTTTCCCGTGCCTTGAGATATGACAGAGCTGCCTTGGCCTAGGGTCCAGGAGCCGAGGCCAGCGGTGAATGGCCCATCCAGCCGGCCTGGGCGGGCGTCCTCCTAGCCCGGCAGCTGGGCAAGTGCTGGACTTCGGTCATCACCCACCCCTCCCTCACACTCAGGGACCCCGCCCCCCCCAAAAGTGGACATCTGGTGCAGGGTGTCACGCTGTGTCACAGCTGGGGCGCTAGACACCAGACGGGGTGCTGGCGGGGTGTGTGTGTGTGGCGGGGGGAGACTCCGGTGGACCAGTGGGCATGGGATGGTTGTAGCCATCTTGAGAAATATAAGCTGCCCTCCCCACTCCGCCCCCAGAACCCTGTAATTTGTCATGGAGTAACCAGAGCGGACTCCATTCCAAACACAGACACACCACACCATACACAAGGAAAATCCCCAACGCTCCGGACAAATCCTACTGAGCTGCCTTCCCCCACAGCCGTTCTTCCCCCTCGCAGGCCTGTGGCTTCCTCTTGGGTCCTCCGGCACACCGCCCCAGGCCTTCTGTACACACTGTCCCTTCTGCCTGGGAGGCGCCGGTTCTGCTCCCTGGCTCCCCCCACCCCACCCCTGCTGTCCAGGCCTTGGCACAAACAGGTCTGTTTCCCTTCCTCTCAGTGCTGGGCACATCTTTGTTTTAGCAGGTCCCAGGCTATTGTGGGTTAGCTGGCCGTCTCCAGCAGCAGGTGGCGCTCCACCAAGGCGCTGCTTGAGAATCCTGCAGGTGCTGAGGGCGTCAGGTAGTGTGGATGGAGGCTGGGTCTTGGTGGTGGGAGGGTCATCTCCCCTCCTGGGAAACCATCCCCCCGCCACACCCTCCCTGGAGTGTTGGTTCCAAGGACTCTTGGAAGCTAGCAAAACCCGAAATTGCTCAAGTTGATGTTATAAAAAGGCATTAGAAGCTGCCTTGCTCGTGGGACTAGAACCTGTGTTTGGGACCTGGAGGCTGTTCCAAGCATGGTGGGACAGAATGCATAGAACCTGCGCACGTCTCTCTCGTACAACTGAAACCATGCAGGCCTAGATGGGCTGGTCAGGTGTCCCGTAGCGAGAGGTGGGACACCACACGGGAGACGTGGGGATGCGTGTGTCCCACTGCGGTCCCTGCTGATCCTCAGCGGAGTGGAGCGCCAGGCGGAGTGGAGCGCCAGCCGCCATCAGTGGGAATGCACGCCTCCGTACACGCTTTGCCGGAGCCGCCGGAACTGGACACAGCAAGCTGGCTTTGTGCAGCGGCCTCTGTCGCTTCCTGGAGGTGGCATCTGTTACCTGACGCTTCCCTTGCATCCGGGTTCTGACCATCCAGCCCCAGGCGGGCTCAAGACCTGGAGGCCCATGGGAGACCTCGGGGGGTAGAGTTGAGGGGGCGGTGGGGCGTGGATGGTGCTGTCAGATTTGGGGTTGGACGACCTGCGATGGCGTTCCCCCCACCCCCCACGCCCCCATATTCTGCCTCCAGTTTCAGTAAAGGACCAGAGTGAACGTCTTTACCCCGTTTTGTGCCCAGACCACGGACAGACCACTCCAGGCTGCCAGCAGGACAACAGCAGCCCTAGGAGATGGTGTGTAAGCAAACGGGTGTGGCTGTGGTTGTGCCAAAATCTTACTGGTGAGCACCCCAGTTAGGACCTTATAGGATCTATGTATTTCTTTTGAAAGGTTTATTTCTTTTTATTGGAAAGACAGATATACAGAGAGGAGGAGAAACAGAGAGGAAGATCTTCTGTCTGATAGTTCACTCCCCGAGTGGCCGCAATGGCTGGTGCTGTGCCCATCCGAAACTAGGAGCCAGGAGCCTCTTCTGGGTCTCCCACGCGGGTGCAGGGTCCCAAGGCTTTGGGCCGTCCTCCACTGCTTTCCCAGGCCACAGGCAGGGAGCTGGATGGGAAGTGGAGCTGCTGGGATATGAATCGGTGCCCCTGTGGGATCCCGGTGTGCGCAAGGCGAGGACTTTATTGGTTGTCGGCACCGATCCCAGTCCTGCCTGCTCTGCTTCTCACCCTGCTTATGGCATGCCAAAGCCAGCAGAGGACAGTCGAGCGCTTGGGACCCTGCACCCCTGTGGGAGACCCAGAAGAAACTCCTGGCTCCCATCTTTGGATCAGCTCAGCTGTGGTCCCTGCGGCCATTGGGAGAGCGAACCAATGGATGCAATTTCTTTCTTTCTGTCTCTGGCAAAAAAACAACAACAACAAAAAATCTGCTTTTTCAATCAAAAGAACTGCATCTTTAAAGAAAGCAACTCTTCAGCAAGCTGGTGCAGCGAGGAAAATCCGGGTAAATCTTCAAGTTAGCTGTGTGTCCTACACGGGTGTTTTTTTTAAATCTTTCCTTTGTATTATCCATTTACCGTAATAAGGCGCCGTGTTCGGGTAGTAAGAATTCACCATTTCCAGGTGATGCATATCAACCGCAGGGTGTGTCCTGGTGGGTTTTTTTTTGTTGTTCAAGGCTTACCTCACGTCTGGGAGCTCACGTGTGTAGTTTTTTTTTTTTAATCAAAAGTGCTTGCTACGCAGGCAGAAAACAGGTCTGCCCGTAAGTCACGGGACATGCCGGCCTGCTCTGGGTCATGTCCATCGGCTGTCACAGCCGGCGCTAGAGATAAGAGCTGGTGCAGATCAAATGACAGGAGGCTGGTCCGAGCACGGTCTCAGGGCTAACCAGCACGCCTTCCCTGCGGCATCTTCTCACTCACCTGCCTTGCTCCTGCCTGCACGCGAGCCCGTGCACCCTCCCTGCCACCTGGGAACAACCCCAGGCTGGCACGCTCGGGAGAAATAAGGGGACTTATGCCTGAGTGGCCAGAGGCTCTCAGGTGGTCACTTTCTGTAGCATGCTTGATGTTGATTGGCTATACGGGAGCACTTCCAGAGGCTTAAAAACAGATGTGTGTCCAGCCTACGGTTTTCTTATTGTTATTGAAAAGGTAGATCAGATCTATAGAGAGGAGAGACAGAAAAATCTTCTGGCTCTTTCCACGAACAGCCGCAGCTGAGCCGATCTGAAGCCAGGAGCCAGCCAGGAGCCTCTTCCGGGTCTCCCCACACGCGGGTGCAGGGTCCCAAGGTTTTGGGCCATCCTCCACTGCTTTCCCAGGCCACCGGCAGGGAGCTGGACGGGAAGTGGAGTAGCCAGGACATGGACCATTGCCCAAATGGGATCCCAGAGCTTGAAGCGGGGAGGATTAGCCAATTGAGCCATTGCGCGGGGTTCCACAACTTACTACTTTTAGTCAGTGCATTATCCTGTGATGTGTGAAAACTCTTTAGGGCTGGGGAGTTATTTCTAGTTGTCTGTTGTTGCCACTCAGACAATTTTTGCGTGAACATATTCCTCCTGTAGGTGGAGCCCCTGCGCTGGGAGTTCAGACCCAGACGGTCACATCTCAAAATTCAACAGCCACATCCCCCGCCCCCCCCCCGGAAATAGGCATGACACCCCCACAATTTTTTTTTAAGGAAGAATTGCTTTACTTGGAAAGTAAAGAGAAAGTTACAGAGAAAGATGGAGAGAGAGAAAAAGATCATCCAATCACAACGCCTGGAGCTGAGCTGCTCCAAACCCAGGAGCCAGGAGCCTCTTCCCCGTCTCGCGGGCCAGGTGCAGGGTCACAAGGCTTGAGGCTGTCCTCCACTGCTTTCCCAGGCCACAAGCAGGGAGCTGGATGGGAAGCAGGGCTGGCGGGATTCGAACCTGCGCCCGCATGGGATCCCAATGGATGCAAGGCGAGGATTTAGCCCCTAGGCCACCACACCAGGCCCTGATGATCAGTTCTTATTGTCAGTTTTTTAATCTGTGCCAGCTAAAGGCGCCCACGGAGTGCTAGCATCGTGGCATAGTTGGGTAAAGCCTCTGCCTGCAATGCCCACATCCCCATAGGGTCGCTGGTTCGAGTCCTCGCCGTTCCACTTCCAATCCAGCTCCCAGCCAATAAACAGTAGCCTCCTAGGTGTGCATGCGTGCAGGTGACTGATTTTACGTGTATGTGTGTGTGCGTGCGCACACATGGTGTGGGCATGATTATATGTGTGTGTGGATGTGTGTAAGCGTTTGTAATAGGTCCACGTCTGGATATGCAGGAGTGGGCATCTGTGGGTGTGTATACACCTGTGTGTGTATCTCTGTGTGTAAAAACATATTCTAGGCAAAAAATCAATCACTCTATTCAGAGAACCACCCGCGTGGTCCGGTTTCTTCTCGCAGGCTTGACCCCCGGTACAGGCATCTATCCCCGGTTTGGTCAAAATGTATAATTTGCTCCCGGCCACTGTGTTTTTCTCCTCCAGGGAAAGTATCGCCTAATTACCACTTCACATTAAGAGGGTAAACAAACGATTCACCGTTCTGTTGCTTTTACAAGGCTGAAATTGGTATCCTCTCTTGCAGGTAGCGGGGAAGGACGGGGAAGGACCGCCAGCCCCCAGGAGAGAACATTGTTACAGCTGGGTGAGTTCCAAAGCGGATGGAGGCAGCATCCTTGAT